AGTCCTGAAAATACCGTACGTGATAAATAGTGAAAACTTGCTCAAAGCAAAATATATTTTCATTACGGAAATAACTTATAAACTTACCGATTTAATATTTTTTTATTCACAGAAAGGTACTTTTCAAGAAAAAGCGCCACAAACCTCCACCTGAACTCCATGCGGTCGATGGGTGTTCCACAGAGTTAGCTCCGGTTGTAGCTAGGTGGCTACATCCATTAGCTCGGCTCCCACTTCCGCGTTAGCTTTGGGTTAGCTTCAGGTTAGCTTGTAGCTAGTTTGACCGGGTGTCGTCAGTTGATCCCAGCCTTACAGCCCCACCCTCAGCTCCTCCTCTCTTCCCCTTTATGGAATTGTCTGGGCTGGACGGAACCTGTAACACGGTCAAAATGGCGGTGGTGGCCACCTCCCATTTTAGACCAAAAACTTGTTATTGGAGCCTATGGAATCGAATTGTCCAGTATATATGTCGATGTTCTACCCACCAATCAGAGGCTTGCTCTAATGGAAGGTGTGAAGTTGCTGACTGGGTGTGTTGGCCGTGGTTAGCCTGAAGCAGACCACCTCAGACAGAGGGCTGAAAAACAGTCTCGTTGTACCCTGAAAAAAGGCAGGCCACCAAGATATGTAAGCAAGCTATGCTGGCCGGGCCGACCAGGTACAGATGGGAATGGCCCATTAAGCATACAGGAACGTGCTGAAAGCAGACTGCAGCCCCAGGTATGTCAGCTCCATTTTTCCTAAGTAACAACAAAGCAGCCTGCTAGAAGTTGCAAGTGAGATATCCTGGCCACAGGGAGCGATAGGGGCTGGATGACCTTTCATTAACCCTGTAGGGTCATTTTAACACATACTGGCTCAAGAAAATAATTTCCAAATATGAAAAAGTAGAAAAGTGTCCCTTTAAAGCTGCAGGCTGACATTTGTCAAAACTCTTGAGCCATTTCTGCGTAACTGGCAGACGTGGGAGTATTTCACGCATTTAAGAATCATGTAGGACAACGTCCTCTCGGGCTTCAGAGCTGTCTCCATTTAAAAGTTGGTTTTGTAGTGACCTCTGACCTTTACGTGTTATACAAATTTTATTGTGTGACAATACTTTTTTGGAAGCATTTGAAAAAATAAAGCATCAATGTGATTTTCTGCAAAATGGAAAACATTTCAACCCTGAGGTTCAGACAGTCACTCTCAGGAAATTAAATCAACAGAATATAGGATTTATGATACATGAACATGTTTCTAAATATTGTAATGATGCATAAGGAGCTACTGAGAGCTTTGGTAGCCCAATGTTACTTTTCCTTTAAGAGACTCGTTGGTTGAAGAAAGTAAAACTTTGAGCAGTTTTTTTTTACCACTACTTTAATAAACAATTGTTAAGGGCTAAATGTCGTTCTGTCAGCTGAAACGAAGTTGTCTTGCTTTTGCTATACAGCCGCTGAAAGCTTCGGGTGCACACATCAATTAAAATGTTTTCCCTTTGGTTGTTGCTGCTTTACGCTTAGACTACTGTAACTCTCTTTTCACGTGTCTGAGCAGAACCTCCCTGAACCGTCTACAGGTGGTTCAGAACGCCTGGTGCCTATCTTCAGCGGTCAGTGGGCAAATAGGCGGGGTACACCCTGGACAGAGAGCCAGTCAATTGTAGGGCAACACAGAGACACACAGGACAAACAATCACGCGCACGCACACACACACACACACACACACACACACACACACACCTAAGGACAATTTAGACAGACCAATTAACCTAACAGTCATGTTTTTGGACCGTGGAAGGAAGCCGGAGAACCCGGAGAGAACCCACGCATGCACAGGTAGAACATGCAAACTCCATGCAGAAAGATCCCAGGCTGGGAAGCGAACCCAGAACCTTCTTGCTGCAAGGCAACATCTCTAACCACTGCACCACTGTGCAGCCCTAATTTATTTCATAAACAATAATAAACTTTTTGCTCCAGTGTAACCTGAGGAAGCAAACCTCTAAATCCGACCAGCGGGTTTAAATGAGGTGTGTGTGAGCGGGAGTGTACACACACTCAGCTGTAACGCAGCCTCACTTCAACAATGCTCCAAGGGCAGCTATTCATTTTCCCGAGTAACTGAATGGCGGTGAAGTAATTTATTGAGACAGAAAAGTTTGCACCTTCCTGTTCGCTTTAGACGCATCGTGCCCTCTTCCGATCACCGACACATCTCGTGCACAAGATAAAGATGGCCGACTGGACACCTTGACATCAAAGTTGACTTCTAATTTACCAGTTAGTTGTTCTCTCGGCTCGGCCTGATCGGTGACACAAATGAAGAATTTAGGGAGCGAGAGCAAAGGAAAAAAGATTTGGGCACTTTAAAATGTTTGCATAACGAGCACTTTGTTCGTTGCAGTGGTTCTCTTCTTTTTAATCACCTGCGCTCTCCAGACCACCTACACCCTTCTTCATGATCAGATACAGGGCCGACGGGCTGATCTGAGGAATTAATCTGGTAAGCCTGATTGCCATTACCGCCATGCGATTATGCACCGTGATTACTGAGCCCACCCCGCAAGGACCATGACGTGCCCGGGTGCACATTTCAAAGGTGGCGGCATAAAATTATACGGTGATTACCCTACAATGGATCAATCCACATGAGAATGAGACTGCGTAGCCATATAGACTGTCTCAAGTAGGACTGTGATTATTAATAGGTGCTTGAGGTGACCTGGTATCTGAAGCTTGAACTGAAACCGCCGTGATCTTTTATACGAGCAAATAAATCCATTTTCATACATTCTGAAAGTCATTATTGGATTATTGTTGTAGAGGAGGGATTGTTGTGGAGTTCAAGCACACATATAAAGGATGTCGGGCTCTTCACAGACAACAGGAGATGATCTCGTCCCTCTCGTCTCGGATGTTTAACCAGCAGTACAGTTTTGGGTGGGCTTGACTCTTCACTTATTATCCTTCCTTGTATAAATGTATGTGTGAAAGGCAACAAATAAAAAGAAGGCTTACCTTTAGAAGCTAAATGACACAAAACTTATTTTTTATTCAGTTGTGAGACAAGTCTTCCTTTGTTGCAGCAGATAAAGGATCCACTCTTTCAACGATTTCCTAAGTTGAGCAATAATGAAGTGGAATGACATCTGTTTGCGACTTTCTTTTTATTCTGAGATATTTTAGGCACAGCGGATGAACACCCCATTATGACAGTTACACTGTTAACATGTTTGCATTAGTGATGAGGATTTAATGGGCTTCATGAGCCTCCATTTACACCGATTCTTAGTTCTCACCTCTTGACCTGCAAAACGACTTAATGGCTTCACACACAGGAGCAACAAGGTCTGTAAATGTTGTTCAGCAGGAAGAAAGAAGCTGATTCGTGGTGCTTTTGTGCTGTGGAGCTTCTCGGTAAAAGCCATGCAAACGTAATTCAGCAGAAGTCACCACAGCTTCCGTGTCGCAGATGCATGGAGCACCATTTACTGTATGCAAATGCGAGTTTGAGCTCACAAATCCGCAATTGCAGAAATTCCATCAGTGGCCAGAGTTCAATAACTCTCCAGTCTTCGAGTGTGTGGATAATGGTCACTGCGACTGCACATCACAGCAATGCATAACCTCATCTTTCCGTTCGCTGGAAAACATTTTCCACTAAAATAACACGGATGAGGGAGCGGGTGGGCTGGTGCAGCTCGAGCTCGGTGCTATTGTAGGAGATGATGAATGATGGACAGGAGAAGATGGGTACATACTATTCACAGTGCTCCATGTGGCAGCTTGCATTTTCACACTGGTACAGTATGTTTGTCAGCTACAGACAGCTCAGGCTCTTACGCACTGCCGTGGGCAAGCAATGTAGTGTTCTGCCAGCCGGCTGCGTCACGGACACATGCATGTGCTACGTACCACCGTGGAGGACCCTGGTATACATGTCTGCATCATTAGCAGTGACAGATTATATACTCGCGGCATCCTAAGAGCCCGGCAATGAGGCTGCTCAAAACTTCTCTCTGATTTGCAGTCAAATCATGTCAAATAGGTGAAACTGGAAAAATGAGAATTTATGTTTATTTATTTCATTAATTGTGAAATTAATACATGCAATAGACTGATTTTGTGTAAAGCCAGACATTTCCAGTATTTATTTTTATAATTGTGATGATTATGGCTTACAGCTTATGAAAACCCCTAATTCTAAATCTCAGTTAGAATGTTGGCAAAATATTTGTTAGTCTACACTCAAAGTGACACACTAATCAGCTAAAACACCTGCAAAAGGTTCCTGAGCTCTTAGATGGTCTCTCAGTCTAAGCCGAATTGCTGAAATAAATGAACTTTTGCTCCAAATTCTCATTTTTCCAGTTTCACCTTTGCTCATGGACGCAGTTTTGACTTTAGAAGTGGGGAGACGCAACCAGCATGAGGACTTGGGGGGATCTTTAAAGTAAATATACAATAATGTGTTATATGTAATGGGAAACAGGCTTCAACACAAGAGGTTTAATATAGTGTAATATTGTTTGTGGATGCAAAAAAGTGCAGGGGAAAAAAATTGACTTTGGAAAAAGGGGGAGGACATGTCCTCCTATATATATATATATATATATATATATATATATATATATATATATATATATATATATATATATATATATATATATATATAAGGAGTGAAGCTCAGATCTTCTTGTTGACACAGAGAAGAAATAAAAACAGAACCTTTCAGTAATTATGGTGTTCCTGTCTCTGTTTACAGCAAGAAGTTTGATCCAACATGTTTGAGACCTGAGTCACAAAGCAGAACCGTGACGTCTACTGTCAGGCATACAGTGAGGAGCCACAGGTGGCCTGATGTATAATGTGTATTTTGGGAAGTGACACACTCACGGGGGGGGGGGGGGGGGGTTGGGGGGGGGGGTGTCCTCAGCACTGTGTGACACAGATGAGATGATTTAGGAAAGAAAAGCAGCCTCTTTGTTTCTGTCCAAGCACACAAAGACATGCACAGCTTCCCGAAAATGTTTATTTTATTCATAAACTTTTGATAAAAATAACAACATCAATATTCATGTATTGTAGAAATTGTCTATGTACAAAAAATCCGTTCGTGAACAGTTAATATAACTTAAGGCGAGTTGAATTACGTTTTCCATTTTTGCAGTATCGTGTTGGTGACAAACTCACCAAACCCTCAACACTTTCTTTATTTTTTTCATTTTCTTTTATGTATTTTTGCTAAAGTGAACATTTCATCTTAACGTACCTCCAGCAAATAAATAAATTAAAAAAGGGCAAAAGTCCAAACTTTTCCACCTCCAAAGGTAAAGTCCACAGAAACTCGCAGCAATGTGTGCTACCTGATTACTTAAAAGCAATGTTTATGTGAGTTGCTAGTAGTTTCTAGCTGGATCAAACACAATTCTGTACATCCTGTAAATTAAGCTCTTGTTTTAAAAAAAAGCTGTACCACATCTAGAGTACATTCCCTTTAAAATCTATATCAACAAAATCAGTGAAACAACTCTCACTGTACCAACGACGATGGGGTGATGCGTGGAAACGCTTCTAATATCAAACTGTAACATTTAAAATATTGTTACTAAACAATAGCCCTCAAAAATCAAGACTTTCATGATTGAAAAAACATGTCACCTTAGAAAGGACGTTTGAATATAATAATTGTAAAATATACACTTGTTCTATAAAAATACAAAGAAGTACGGTGATACAAATATATTTATTTCCCATTTATGATATTTCCCATTTATGATATAGCTTTCACAACCGTAATAATCCAAACAATTGTAATACAACACAAAGACCAAATGACAAAGAAACACTGACAGTAAAATGATAATTAGATCAACACTAGAAGTGATCCAGGATGAACAGCTTCATGGTCAGAACCATTCGCCTACATTCATGTTAAGAAGCCTTCACTGTGGAGTGAAGGAGAACCTTCAGAGTGGTTTGAAATTCCAATTAAAGGAAAATAAAACTGACATAAACATGCATTTTTTAAGAAACGTAGGTAAATCATTGCTCTACTGTGGCTAAAAGCAGAAAATAAGAATCTTAAATGGAGATATTAATCATCTTAAGTGCAACCCGTCCATGCTCCGAGGCGCCTGGAGGTAGGAGCTGTCCAGGCCAGGAGGTGCTGAACTGCAGTCATGCAATGCAGAGCAGAGAGGTCAAAGCAACAAGTGCTGATGCGTTTACGGACTCTTACAGCTGACGAATGGCTGCTCACAGTCAGCACCAACAGGCTGTAAGGCCGCGGCAGCCTTCCTCTCTCTCTTATGTGAGGCACAGACTCGCCAGGCAAACAGAATCCAACTCAGACATGAATTTGTAGTCAGCTGGCTTATCTTCCAAGACGGAAAGATCCCCCGAAAGGCTCAACTACACTGTGTGACACACACACACACACTTACACACACACACAGAGCCTGGTCTTCATATCCCCTCGGGAAGACTGAAAGGCCACGCGCCGGTGGTCACCTGTGGCTTTATTTCCATTTTCTCCTTCTGTTTGAGGTGAACGCGTCCGTGCCGCTTCCTCTCGTCGCTGCGCGCGAACCTTTTGCCGCACACGTCGCAGGAGAACGGCTTCTCGCCGGTATGAGTCCTGGTGTGGGTGGTCAGATGGTCGCTACGGCTGAAACTGCGCAAACAGATGCGGCACTGGAAGGGTTTGTGGCCCGTGTGGATGCGGATGTGCCGGTTGAGCTCGTCGGAGCGCGAGAAGCGGCGGTCGCAGCTCTCCATGGGGCAGGTGAAGGGTTTCTCTTTGGCTGGGCCGTGAGAGGCGGCATGGCTCTTCCTGGCCCGGGGGGGCTTTGTGGCTCGGGTGGGGTAAGTTTGTGGGAAAGAATCAGGCAACAAGGAGGAATAGAGGATGGAGTCTATGGTGCTGGGTAAGGCTGGTGACGCGTATAAAGGGTCGCACTGGTTGGACTGGGGTGGTGGGAGTTCGGGGAAGGGCTTCAGGTTGGAGGAAAGGCCCATAGGGGGTGGGGGGAGGTAATTGTTGTACAGGGATGCGGAGTAGCTCTGAGAGCAGGTGTCAGAGAAGCACGGCTCCTGCTTGATCCCCCCTTCCACCTTAAACTCCATCTCCGGGTTGGGGCAGATTGCGGGGAACGTGTCCAAAAGCTCCTTAACATCCATCTGCTGATCCGGAGGGAAATCGTTGGACATGGGGAAAGTCTCGGTCTGGAAAGTAGTCTCCAAACAGTCAGACTTATTAAACGTGCCCCACTCGTAGCAGCTGCTTTCAAACTCATTCTTCACCACCACGGGGAAAGACGCGGCTTCAGACTTTGGCTCGGTCTTCTTCTGGTCCTGGGCTCGAGAGGAGCCGAAGCTGAGTTGGGAGGTGGACGGGTCTTGGCTTTGTGAAGCGGCCTGATCATCTGTGTACGTCTGACAAGTCTGATCCGGGGTGTACACAGGTGGGTTAGGTCCGGAGCAAGTGTAAGGCTGCCTCTTTGCGCCAGAGTCTCCAAAATTGCCATCGCTGTTCTCCAGCGGTTCGGGAGACGGATAGTTTCCCCGACTGGTGCCGTTCTGTTGCGCTTCTGAAAGCGGCAGCGTGGAGATGCCCACGATCTCGGTGATCATGTTGAGGAGTGTTTCGGTGCTGCAGGGCGCTCCCTGAGATGCCTCAACATAGAAACTGCCCGAGTAGGCGAGCGAGGAGGGGGTGTAGGTGTCTTTTGGGCACTCGCAGGGGTTAAAAGCGAATTCCGAGTTGGACGCCTCGGTTTTCAGAGCTGCGGGGGCTCCCTCTGTGGAATCAGAAAAAGAGGGCAACTTTGTCATTGCGAGGGAAATGCACACAAATAAAATAAAAACACAGAAAATAGCGCTGTTACATAAACATTCGTGCGCATTTTGGACACACACACACACACACACACACACACACACACACACGAGTTTTCACTCCCTGTCACTCATTTATTCCCTATTTCCATCCATTTATCCATGCATGCTGGTTTTTCCAAACAACTCACCGTGGCCGAACTGGGCAGGTGCCCCCCGTTCAGCTGCATCCACGTACACCTCCTGGTTGTCTTTCCGCGCGCCGTTCTCCATCGCCAATGAAGAACTGTTGCAATTGTCAAACTGAGGATAAAATGAATCTTTCGCGTTCAAATCCATATTGTTCAACATAATGATGCTGTGCGGTGTCCGTCTCGCCCAGGGAGAAAGGTAAAAAGAGAGAACAAATGGTGCTGATGCGCTTCTTTTAGTCAACCCGCCCTTTGAAATCTTTTCAATAAACGATCCAAAGTCAAAAGGAGTTTATTTAATGAAAAAGGCAATTAAATGTATTCCTGCCGGTCTCCGCTCCTCCGGTATTTGCTTGCTGTGTGGATTTCGCATCAGCGACTTCCCCTTTCTTTCCTTATATACACCTTGGCAGGTCCCTCGGACCCTCCTCCCCATTCATCAGCTCCAGTGAGAGGATTCCCCGCTGCGTGTAAACTTCATGCCCATATGTGGACAGAGGATGTGACGGAGTCCCCCTTTTCCCCTCCTCTCGCTGCATCCAAGATCCTCCCCTCTTCCCGGGGGGGGGGGGGGGGGGGGGGGGGGGGTCTGACGTTGCAACAAGTGGCGAGCAAGCAGTGTCGGATGCTGCTTTACACAGAAAGATTAGTCATTTCTGATCAAAACAACATGGGGAAACTCTCGATTCCTCACAGCATCGCACGCTGTGACCTCCAGCTGAGGTTTGTTCTGCTAAACCTCTCACGTTTATAACCCAACAGGCATAAAATGAACAGAAATAACGCAGGGAAGCATCTAAACATAAACTTCTAGCCTCAGATAAAGTAACAGCTTTAAATCTTCCTTATACAGTATATGCAAATCGTTTTAAAAATACAACTTTAAAGTCTCAATGTTTTAAGAAAATACACAAATGTTCTTTTGGCTACTTTTGTTTTTAACTCAGCCAATAGTCAGTTTTTAAACCATTTGGATCAAAATGAAGCGTTTTCTATTTGTTACAATGAAATTTGGTGTTTCCACCAAAACATGCAGTTACTGGTTGTAACAAATGGTTACAAAACTTTCACTGGTCATAAACGTTGTTTTACACTTTTACCTCTTCACTTGTTGCCAGTGAGGAAAGGGAGTCTGATGTGCTTCTCATTTTACTGACGTTGCACTGTCAGGGATTTTTTACCCTAATGGCCATCCGTTTGTAAACACTTCCTCGAACATGAAAATATCACTATTTGCAATGGTTTAGGTGTACTGGACCTTATCAACACACATTGATACTTTAAAAATATGTATTACTGTCTATCTGTATGAGTGTTTAGCAAGAAGATACACCTAAATGAGGCCACTAACAGCAAGTGATGAGAAACAATATGCTGTGGCAAAGTATTGACTATAAAAAAAATTTGACAGCATAGATCACAATTTTAAATATTTTGTAAGAGGACATGGCTCTTTCTTTGATAGTTACCTTAATAAAAGACATCATGTATAAGTAAATTATGTAGACTCAGATTTTCTGAAGATTATGCGGGGTACCACAAGGTTGAGTGCTCAGCCCTAAACTTTTTATACTACACAAACCATTTACATAGTCGATCCTATAGTTTACATTTTACTTTATATGCAGGTGACACTGTATTGCATAGCTCTGGAAAAGGCTTGGGGAAGACAAAACTAAAGAATCAATAAATAACAGCAAATCAGTATTTCTGTTATTTACAAATAGCATAAAGAAATTAGTGTTAAACATAAGAACAATGTTTTTATAGAAAAATTACATCTAATAACATTTTGGAAGAAAAACATTTAATGATAAATTTAAATATAAAGCTCACATTTGCAATGCCAAAATCAACATGCAACTAAAATAACATTAAATGAAACAACAGATTTTGCAATAACTCGACATATTGTTCCCTAATACTCTTATATTGTCAGGGAGTGGAGTCCGTTGCAACTGGACCTAACTGCAGTTGACCAGGAACAGGAGGCAAAATAACTGTTTAATATGAATAATGGTGCGCAGGATGATACAACGGGAAAACAAGACGAGGATCTGAGTCTGACTAAGACAAGCTCAAACAGGGGGTTTAAGTACATGATGGTAATCAGGAATCAGGTGGGTAGGATAACAGGGGGCAGGTAAGTCCAATAAACACTTAACAAGGGGAGACAACACATCAGAGGGAGAAGGAGCAGATCCTGACACATATGCAACTTTCTGTGTGGAGATATGGGGAAACGTTTAGAAAACATCACAAAATCTGCATACACACTGCAGAAAGCTTTAAATTAGATTATTGCAACCAGATCAGTGAAATATAACTAAACAAAAGCGTCAACATTTTATGGTCAATTAAACCATAACACTGTCTTGGCAATGTATGAAGCCCATTTTCAAACTGTAGAAGTTTCAAATTCAACAAAGATAAAAAAAGGAAAGGTCAGTATAAAAATAGTTTACGTCAAAAAGAGGGATTCATTTTTCTCTTTTCCTTTTCTTACATTTTCTAATCACAGTTTTTTTATGTTTCTCCTTTTTACGCTATTTTTAAATCATTAAAAAATGTTTTTTTGTTCTTGTGAAGCATCCCATTATTTTTATCCTGAGGGCTGCTGTATAAAAGATTCTTCTTCTAATATGACAGACGGATGAGAGATAATAGACAGACAAACAGACAGACCATTGTCCATAGACAACAGACAGACAAACAGAGAGACAGACAGACAGATCGATCTTGAAGCCAGAGACAAGTTTATGAATAATCAGGAGTTCAGTTTCTTTCCCAACACTTTTCTTGCCTGTCCTCATATTAGTCTGAGTCTGCGGTCTAAATGTAGTTTCCCCCCACCACTCTGTCAGCCAGTCCACATCCTAAATTTATTTTCTCAAAAACTCTATTTACTCTCAAGGTGCTGCTGGAAATTGTGGTGACTTTCACAATCAGGGAGAGCAACTGCCAAAGCCCAGTCTGAATGAA